CTGGAGATGGGCCAAATCATCTGCTGGTGGAGGTTGCTATGCGCTTAGGGAAGCCAACAGGCATCTGTATGCAAAGGGTTATAGTTTTCACAGGGCTTTGGACGCACTTGGCACAAAATGGTGAATTTTCGTCTTCCTTTTGACAAAAGTGCCCAAGGCATCTGTCCGGCAGAGCTCGGGGGGACCGGGGCTGCGCGGGGCTGTGCAGGCTGAGATGCGCTTCAGTCCTGACACGCGGCAGCACCTCTGCATCGAGCAGCTGTTGTAACATGCAGCTAAAACGTGGAATCTGCCCTGGCCCTACCCCTGGCCTCTCGAAAATGTGCTACTCTCACTTCATCACCTCCCTTTCCCCGTTCCTGTTTCAGTTCATATTGTCCCTGGGGTACCTGAGGAGACCGACCTCGTCCTGGAAGAGATCGATGATGACTGGATTAATGAAGCCACATGCGAGATGGTGGCCTGGGGTCGTGAGACTGAGCTGGTGGCAGATGCTCGTCCCCTTCCCCCCATACAGGAGGAACCTCAGGAAGAAGAAAACAGGTAGGAGAAGGGAGGTGGTGTTGATGGGGCAGCTCTGTGTGCTCTCTGGCCACCAGCGTGGTGGCCATGGGAGGGGACAAACACGTCCCGGGGCATCCCTCCTTGCCAGCGCTGGTGGTGGAGCTGGCAGCGGGCAGCCGAGGTGCCCGTTTCCAAAGAGGGGGGCACCAGAAGGACCCAAAGGGTGTTTGAGCAAACAGCCTTTCCTTCTGGTGTCGAGATTCGGGTTGGACAGGCAGTGGCAGAGCCGCGAATGCAATGCTTCACATTGCCCTGCAGAGGACAGCTGAAGGACGCTTTGCTTAGGCTTCCTGTAAGTAGATTTTGGCCCTAAGGCAAGAGGGTTTGGACCTCATTCCTATCAACTGCGCATCCAACTGTCATGACATTTGGAAATGGTAGTCTTCTCTATATAATTCATCCTACTTCTTCCAAAAGAAACCCCTGCTGAGGTCCTCCCGAGGGCTGGGCAATGCGTTCAGAGCCAGGAGTGGGCTGCGTTGCAGCAGGGAGATGAGAGGTGTCCATGCACACTCCCAAAGCGTTTGGGAGCCCCCCCAAACACTCCCAGCACACGTGCAGGGGAGGGCGAGTGCAGTGGTCCCCACCTCTGACACGGGCAATGCTCGACTGCACCGAGCACAAGCGATGCTCAGAGCCATGTTTGCTCAGCAGAGCTCTCTTCTGCTCAGCCAGAAAACACTGGGCATGTTATAAAAATATTTTTCAGATTTTTTTTCCCCTTAGTACAGGAGCCTGAGAAGCTGTCAGCAGAAAGCACGTCCTGCCCTGGAGGGTGGATTTCATTAACAGGGAGGTTTTGGTCAAAATCAGCAACAAGTGACTCCTAAGCACATCCTCTCCCTGTGCCGCAAGGGGAATTTGAAGGCTCTAGGTCTCTGGTTTTGCGTTCCCAAACTTTTTCCCGTTCTTCCTCCCACCCCCTTGGGGCCGCAGACACTAATGGGCTGTGAAACAGCGTCTGCCTGGTGTGCCCGAGCATGTCCCCCCCAGGATCTTGGCTGGGGGATGGAGGGAGAGCATCTCTGGCCAAAGGGGGTGTGGAGACTGGCAGTGCTCCTCTTGTGAGGTTCAGATGTACTTTTTGGATTTCACCTAATGAGTTTCTCCTTCTCAGGCTGTGGTTGTGCTCCCTGAGTGCTGCCGAGGAGGAGGAGGAGGAAGAGGAAAAGGAGGAGGAGGAGGAGGAGGAGGGGGAGGAAGAGGAGGAGGAGGAGGAGGAGAAGAAGGAGGAGGAGGAGGTGGTGGAGGAGAGTGCAGGGTGAGTGGTTCCCATTCCCTTTATGGCTTTGCTGGAAACGAGCGTGAATGCAGTTGTTGTTTCAGCTGCATTCACAAGCCGGAGAGGCTGAAACACCCGTGGAGGAGAGAGCTCCTCTTGGCAGAGCGGAGCTGGCCGGGGTGCGCTGGGGAGGGAGGGGTGCGCTGGGGAGGGAGGGGTGCGCTGGGGAGGGGGGCGCTGGGGGGGGGTGCG